TTGAGGCATATCGCCATAACCCCCGTTTTGTGACCCCTCCCATGTGATCAACTCATCAAAATGCTTTGCTATTACTTTAGTAACTTGTTTAATTAATACGCACAGTATATTTGCAAAGTATTATTATTCTTTATTTAATAATTATTAATGAATAGTAGTATAAATTAAGTTGTTTAATATAGTTGTACAGCCTTTCAGTAGCTTCCTTAGATTTTCAAATTCGTGAAAATCGTATAGTATTATAGTAACACTAACAAACTAACAAAGTTTTAATAAATAAATTAAATAATGAATAGTTTTTCAAGTTCTCAATTTAGTAATAAGTACATTATACATTTTATACAGTTAGACTAGTTAGTTAAGGTTACAGAACACCTTTGAGTGTTTGTTTTGCCTAAAATGTTTTTACAGGTTTCCATGATAGCATTAGACTAGTTCTACTACCTGACGAAGTTTGAACGAAAAATGTTGAAAAATCGTAGAGTTATTTAATAAAATACATTTCGCTGCAATAAGAAAAACATTGAAAATGTAATATTCAAATTCAATTTTCTCCCGAAGAATTTTGCGGGTTTCAGCCAATGTTTCTCAAATTGTCACAGGACAAACCTAAAGTCGTCAGTTTCAAAATTGTGTTCGGCTTTGTTCTAATTTTGGATATTTTAATAATAAAGAGCAATTCACTCAACTGAACAATTCAGAAATAGAAGGTCGAGTTTGGAAGCCTCTTTGCATTTGTTGGTAGAACAAGACGGTAATCAACTTCAGCTCTTTCGATTTCTAGTTCGAGGATAGATATATCAATCATTGAGACCGTTGAAAGTATTCACTAGCGCATCTAGCTCGCAGCAAGCTAGTAGGTATCTGAACCTGCATTAAGAGCATTGATAGCATTAAGGATGTCTTTGTTCTTAGAGTCAAATCTGACATTAAACTCGTCGTTGAGTTTCTTCTTCTGCTCTACGTGGAGTTCTCCAATAAATTATTTTATCTGATGACCCTGATCATCGGGAGTCGTAAGTCGTAACTGTTGTAGCTCTAGTGTTGTGGATAGGCATTGAGTCGCAGAGAGCTAAGTAAGGGGTTTCCAGTCTTTCTTGAAATTTCTTTCGACTCAATTAATATGTCCTCGTCTTTGATGTTGTTAATTGAATCCAGAGTTCGAGTCAGCTCGTATTGAATGTCCGTCTTGAATGAACGTTTTTTATTAAATTTTTATTATTTTTATTAAACCATCTATATCTATTTATCTGATATTCGGACCTCTGCCTTCCATTTCTCGTAGCAATTTTTATGAACTTCTGATTTCTGGTGTTTCATAAAACAACAGAAAGTCGAAAGACGAAGCACAAAGTTTTCATATTTTATTGTCGCTTTCCCTCCGGTTTTCTTTCTTTATTTGATATTTTCTACATGCCTAATACACTTTTAAAAGCTGGTCAGAACCTCACCAACGATCTGGAAATTGACTTTGTTCGTTTTCTGCCACTGTTCTCCGGCAGTTTCGATTCAGCCGTTTCACACGCCAAAATTAGACTTGCGCTTGTAGCTCAGATTATACTTAGCCTTTTCACTGAATTTTTAGGCTTAGTCTCTGAGGCTTAGTATTCTACCTTGTTTTTTTCACCAAAGCAGTTTAGTTTAGTCGTAGCTTTTTATCTGGTCTTTTTACTAAAATTGAATATGCGTTTGGATATTTAATCTTCAGACGTTTTTACGTAGTATATCTAGTTTTATAAATACTTGTCTTAGTATAATATATGATATAATTTCATTTGTTGAAGTTATCAGTAAGTTGTACTCTTACTGCTAAATGTATAAGTTTCTTAAATAAAGGCTATAATAATAATAACCTACAGTATGCATGCCATTTTCGAATTTTTCTGAGGGGGGTGCTAGAAAATTTTGGGGGGGTGCGCACCCCCCTGCACCCCCCCAGAAAATCCGCCCCTGCAACAAAGATCAAAAGCGATGACAGATTTTCAAGCTTAAAATGTAACTCATTTTCATTCATTTCAAGTCAATAAGGATGGCCTGTTGTACTCAAATGCGTAGATTTGCCTCTTGTTAGCTTTTATATTTGCTTTGTGTCACATTTTAATGTGAGCAAAATGGCTGCGGTAAAGCTACTTCTTGGTAAGTATTCATTTATACTAAAGCCTACTATATTCTTCCTGTTTATGAAATTGGTCTGGTTTTACACGTGTTTGGCACTTTGGCGACACTTTGGATTTCGCTCGTGAAACCAACTTGAAGTTTAACTTTTCGCGGCTGCATCTAATGCGTACCACTTTAATTATAAATATCAGTAGACAAACCCGATGAGTCAGCTGAAAGCATAGGCATGTAGCAGGCGTTGTCTTTTTTCTTATTTTGACTTTTTGTGTATTAATTTTCACAACGTTCATAATGTGCATTAATTAAGTGGTTCAGAACACAATTTTGGAACACTTTACTTACTTACTTACTACTTACAATCTGTGAAATCATTTTTAATTTACTTTTAGATGTCCTCATGTCAATGTCGGACAACCATTATTCGACCCACATGTATCCCACATTGCATTGCGTGTGTTCTTTTCTTTTCTTTTCTTTTCTAATAGAAACAGAGCCTCCAAAAGGCCATTAAGGACTCATTAAAAGACCTCAAAAAACTTTAAAATAAAACAAAAGTAGGAGAAAAGCCGCCCAAAAAAGTAGGTGGGATTGTATAATTAACAATCATTTACTGAAGTGGAGCCCCTCGCCCAGCCGCGTATGACCAAGATACTTAACGTTTAACTTTTTTTAACACATCTCTCAATTATATATGTTAGCTTTAAAACACAAGTCTAGTACATAGAATGAAGAGAAATTCGCATTATTTTCTCACTGACAAAAATGACGCCTGTACAATGGTGCTTAGTGAAATTCACCTATAAATATGATGAAAAGCTTACTGTTATTTTAAAGTTATGGACACGTCAGTTAAAAACACATTCCTTACTTATTCAGGAACTCTTCGGTAAATTTGGGAAAATAAAAAACATATGTATGTCTTCATTATGACGTCTCAGGAAAATCAATTGATTTTAGAACGAAATCTGTCGGGGAAAAAGTTTTTCAAATCCAAGTCTTCTTAGCGTAAAGTTAATGAAGTATTCAACTTGTTTAAATGCTTTTAATGCCATAATTATGCTATTAAATGCTTTGAGAAGATAGAGGTAAACTCATGTTTGTGTTCGCTTTTATTTTAGAAAGAAATCTGTTAAGAAAGAATTGAAGAATTCCAGAGGCAATTCTTTAAAGTAGAGTGTATTCGAGAAGAACGAAGGATCTCAAGTATAATTTGTAAACAAATTCAAGAGGATATTAGAAGAACAAGTCAAAGAGCTGTCTTTTAAAGAATATTTCACTTCGGGTATTCAACATGTTTAAATGCTTTAATTATGCTTTGAGGAGATAGAAATAACTCGTGTTTGTGTTCTCTGTGAAATCTGTTAAGAAAGAAATTAGCAAATTGATCCCAAGTCTGCATAATGTTTGCATCATTAGTATAAACTTACTAGTAGTATTAGTATAAACCTAGTAGTAGCGACGCAGGTATTCTTCATTAAACGGGTGTGTAACAACCTTGTCGATAGACACTGATAAATGTTTAAATAATAACAAAAGTTTGCCATGGGTGTCAAAGAATTGACAAACAACCAAATGCTTTATAGAAAACTGATATGCTGGACAGACATCAGTGCAATGCGTTTTATCAAGGATCAGCACCATCTATGGAAATAGAAGGGATGAAGAGGATATTTGGAAGGAGCGAGGAGACACGTAAGCTGCAATGTACAGAGAACTTTGGGGATGGTGACAGCAAAGCGTATAATGAAGTGGAAAATGCTTATGAAAACATATATGTGGAAAAGAAGGAATGTGTCGGTCATGTCCAGAAGCGAGTTGAGACGGCGCTACGGAAACTGGAGAAAGAAACAAAAGGAATTGGTGGTAAAGGGAAGGTAACTGATTCCCTTATCGATGAGCTTCAGAACTATTATGGAATTGCTATCAGAAGTAATTCTGGAGATTTAGAAGGCATGAAGAGTTCAATATATATATATACCATTCGGATCAAGGTAAGTCTGTGTAAGGCGCGCTTTGTGAGGACATGCACTGTCATGATGCAATTGAATTTTGTGATGGAGTGTGCAAGATGGGTCCCCTACCCTCATCGATAGACACTTTTGTCTAATAACATGACTTTATTTATTTACTGCGCAGGAGACTAAGTATTTCCATGCACAGCAAGAAAATTCAGTTTTTAATTGTCCAGTACAAATACCTTTTCTGTGCTATAATTACAAACGAAAATGGCCAGATACGAATAGAGTGAAAGTTGATGTGGAAATGCATTTTTGCACGGTTGAGAAGGCATGCAAAGCTATTCAATTATTCGGAAATATAAACCTTATTGCCATTGGCAGATTCCATTTATTATCTGCACCGGGGGTTGAGGACACTGGAAAATGCAGGGAAGGGGTGTAAAAAGGCCTTGGAAAATCCAGGGGGGGGGAGGGCTGAAAAAGACCACAGAAATCCAGGGAGTTGGGTGATTAGAGACCAAAATCCAGGGGATGGTCTGCAATTAAAGCCACTTTCCAGGGGTATCTGGCAATGAATTCCTTGGAAATTCCAGGGAAGGGGGTTAAACTGAATTCCAGGGAGGTCACAATTTAGCTTGTAAAAAGATGTCCTTAACTCCCCTCCCCCCGTGCGAAAAATAAATGCTAATCTGCCATTGGGTCTACAATTTGGCCCCTCAAACAATCAAACTCGAGTTTGAAAAATTATATGTTTTGTACCCGCGCTGAAAAGACAAGGTACAAATTGAAATCGACTTACATATTTGCAGAACGTACCTGCTCGAGGAATCATGACAGATAAATCCATTCTTTCCAGCAAGAAAAAACGCTTTCGCACTAATATAAAGGCCACTTTAAACGGATGCAACAATCCAACAACTTTTAGCAGTTTAATTAGTACAAAATTCTGTTTGAAAATAAGAACAGTGTGACCCGTGTGTTGATTGGACAGTATTTACTGTATATTAATTAAATATACCATAGATTTTCAATGTTATTGACAATGACATTGTTTTCATGTTTTCAAGATGGCTGTTTTTGCTTGCTGCATGTGTAAGCCTCTACATTCTGTATATTTTAACATTATTGTATGGATTTTTACCTCATCGTTAGTATGAATAAAGTTTTTTTAAACTATAATACTATATCAGGTGAGATTATCGCATATTTCTTGTAAAATTTAAATAATGTCAATGGGAACGATGACGTTGTACTGATTTTTCGCCAAATGTTGGGCGATGTTGGATGAAAAGTTTGAACAAAATCAAACTTGATCCAACATCATCCAACATAGTGCAACAATATCCAACATGGTGTTCAAACGGACCCAACATTTTGGACACAACAATGTTGGGTGATGTTGGTCCAACGTGTTGCATCCGTTTAAACAGGCCTTAATTGCTTAAAAACTTTAAAAAGTTCAAATACATGAAGTATTTCTTATTCTGAGCTTGCAATGCCTTGATGGAAAGTCGATTTCTCGTCGATGGAAAACGATGACAGCGACAGAGATGGATTTAAAGCGATAGGCCACCCGTGGCCATCGCAATTAGAAAACTATCAATATAAAATAACAACCTGAGATGGTTTGAAATGGGTTTCACTAAGCATTATTAGGCCTATATACGCGCACCAGGTCGTAGTCAACAATTATCAGATATTAATTAAATGAAACACAAAACAAAAGCTTTGCATCTGCAGTCAGACGTCCGCCAAATAATGTGTTGCGTATAACTGTTATTCGTTCGTTCGTTGTTCGTTCATTTATTTATTTATTTATTTAAAAGTACTATTTAAAACACGAGCAGAGTGTTTTATGAGATATAAAACGCGAGGCGCAGCCGAGATTGCTTAAAATACGACTACAAAAAATACTAATTGGGATGCGGAACAATTATATATAAGAACACTAATTATAAAATGAACAATTATGTAATGAGACATGCATGCATGTGTTTTATCAGATATAAAGTCACTCCACGTGATATATTATGGCTGACATGATTTGCCACAAGGTTTATGAATTATTAATGATATTTTAATTATAAACAATACTAGATGAGCACATACGATTTACCAATAACATAGAGTGAAAGTATTCAAAAAAATTTGAGTAACCTGATGGGGGGCTCACACTGTCAAACAATTAATATTTGACCCACATTTGTCCCACATCGCATTGCGTATACCCACTGTTTTGCATGACTTACGCAATCTAAGACTTATTAGCCTAGCAACAATTAATCTCCCTATAATGGTCATGCATTTATGTGCTATATTTAAATCCCTATCGGCCACACAATCTAAATGCTATACCAGTGCGAAGCTCTGAATAAAGTTCCTACAAACATTCATCTTTAAAATATATATAACTTGAACTATATATGCGCAACTGACACAAAAACTGCGCATTACCACTCTCTAGGATACTTCTTCGTACATAGATTCGTTTGCTGGATTGCTATTCAAGTTGTGTGGAGCATCACGTTGGACATTTTCGTTGTGAGCTCTGTGATGTTGGTTGGGATATGCTTCATTTGCGCTTTGAAAATTTGCATCAATCGACACCGTCGTGGAACTGTGATATTTTGCTGGTTGCCCATAATCATTTTGGGAGTAGAATACTTGTGGCAGCCCACTTTCAGAATAGGCCGGTGGTCTACTTTCAGAATGAAATACCTGTGGCATTCTGTCTGCATATCTGCCACCTTCATAAGCAGCATTTTGAATGGGACCAATGTCTCGCCTTCTTTGTTTTTTTAGTCTTCCAAAGAGAAAGCAACCGACAATGAAAATTGCCGCGACTATAACAATCACTGCTGCTGCCACGGTTCCAATAATGACTCCGGTGTTACTCTTTGATGAAGGCTTTGGATTTTCGTCAGGCACTCCTATAAGAAAGAAAATCATTGACATGCGTTGTAGTTTGCAGACCGATATCAGTTTGATAGCCTTGGATTGTGAGAGTACTTTATTTTATCACAGTAGGGTTGAAATTGCCTCAATTTCGCAAAACAGCTATTAGTATCCAGTTTTTTATATATATAGTTTTTTCGGGTACTTAATGTAGAATAATAAAAAAATTTCACGAACTCAAATTTTGTAAACCAGAGTGGGGGGGGGGGGGGCTTTTACAACAAACAAAAAATGGCTTGCGCACGGCTTGAGATGATAGATGGGAAATTTGTTGGGTTTTTAATTACTGTGCAAAATTTCAGACAATTTGCTTTAGTTTAAGCCTTTAACTATTCACTTTTCCGCTAAAAAATTAGCCTTTCGCATGCTTAATTAATGCTTTTACCTAATTTGCATATTGCTAACATATGCAAATTAGGCAAAGGCATAATTAGCATGCAAATAGCTGATTTTTTAAGAAAAAATGTAAGTTTGCGTGAATAGTTAAAGGGCTTAAAAAACGTTGTACAGTAATTAAAATCCAACAAATTTTCCATCTATTAACTTAAAATATGATTAAAGCATTTAAATTCCGTGCGCAAGCCTTTTTTAGTTTAATTGTTTTTGTTTGTGGAAACACCACGTAAATTTATTACTGCAAAGCTTTCGATCCGTAAGCCCGGATCTTCATCAGTGCTAATAATATGATGAAGATGATGATGAAGATCCGGGCTTACGGATCGAAAGCTTTGCAGTAATAAATTTACGTGGTGTTTCCACAAACAAAAACAATTATATTTTATCGCCATGCAAACATTCAAAGAACATTATTAGTTTGTTGGAAAAGACACCCCCCCCCCTGGTTCACAAAATTTGAGTTCAAGAATTTTTTTATTTTTCTACATTATAAGTACCCAAAGAAGCTATATATACATCAAAAACTGGATACTAATAGCTGTTTTTCGAAATTAAGAGCAATTTCAAAAATTTAACTCAGCCCGGACTGAAACGTGCTGCCTAATCGTGAAACAATTTCAGCTAGGTTATTACACAGCGTGGGCTGAAAACTCTCACCTTGCATGGTCACAACATATAGTTTTGCAAAGAAAGCTGTTTTGTGCCTCGCTACATCAATTAAATATGAAAAATAAACTAGTTTTGACCTGTTTGAAAAATCATGTCCATGTACTATTATCGATTTGATCCAAATAGTCATGATTTTAGCTCTTGCAGAAGTAAACTGCGTCTAAATTAAATCATGAGCTTCCTGGATGAAATGAGATTGATATATAGCAAGTCAAGTTATTAAGTCAATCGGTGCTACTTGACAACGATTTTTTGTAGTTGCCGCATCTTAGACTTATTCTCATATCAGACATATACATTCAATATTTAAAATGTTATAAAAATGTTTCCATTCCTATGGACATAGCGAGCACAGAATTTTTGTGTGGATAAAAGACTCTATTTTTTGAGTATGTATATCATACGACCTGATGACACGGTCCTGTGTTAATTGTTAAACCCAATAGTTATGATAATATTATATCAGCAAAAACACTTCAAACACTGTCTTATAATTACATTTAATTAAGTTATTTTCAAGCATCAATAATTGTAAACATAATTTTTTATGAGTCAATTAAATAAATTAAATACATATAACCATGGAACTGTTTGTATGAAAAATGAAATTGAAGTGCCTATGACACGAAATTTCACCCCAAAGCTAGGTTTATGTTTGCATTGTAAAGATCACTTAAAATGACTTAATAACTTCTTTTATAGAATTTTGGTAACTTGCTCCCTTTTCAAGATATTCAACTTTCAATTGTTTCATATGCAAATATCATGCACCGGTGTGACATCACATCACATAATGAGTTTTCAGAAAAGTACAGTTTTCTTGACGAATACGTACCTAAATACGTACCTAAAAAACTTAAAATTTCCCTTCTATATGTATTAATTTCAGAACTGGTAATTAACCTTCTGTATTTGTTTGTAAAAATATTTTATCAAGGTAAAATATTGCGTTTTCAAAATGTTAGTCACACCGGTGATATTTGCATATGAAACAAAGTTGAATATCTTGCAAAGGAAGCAAGTTATCAAAATTCTATAAAAGAAATTATTAAGTCTTTTAAGTGATCTTTACAATGCAATCATAAACAATTGGGGTGAAATTTCGTGTCATAGGCACTTTAACAAAGCACAATGTTTAAATCAACGGAATGATATCGATATACATAGGGAAGTACTTTCATACTCATTTTAAATATCAATATATCGATCAAGGTACCAAAGTATTTAATAAACAAAATAGGTTAACCAGCCACAGGTCCATCATCATCAAACATTCTAGATATTTTAATATTATAAAAACTACCTAATAGCATGTAATAATCTAGGGCATTCTAACTTGTAAAACAGTAAAAATAAAAAGTTATCCAATAAACTCTGTCAGTAGCCTTCTTGTAAAGTCTCGATACCATTTCTTGACCGTGTAAAACCATAAAAATGCTTAGTTTATATACACCCCGTATACATTCACTCTGTAACTTTTAGCAGAACAAAATAAGTATTTTTCAATTGATTTCAATGTAAAAAGTATCAAATTTTCGACCAACCTCGTACCCAGGGCCTGCCCGCCCGATTTTCTAATAGAAACGATTTTATTTAAATTACAACTAATGACGCCCGCGCGAACTCAGTGTTGCGGTTTTAGCAACAGCATGCGCACAAGTAACTGGATATCCAAAATTGCATATCCGGTCATTACGTTTCTCCAGAGTCATGCCCAGCACCTAACCTGCGAACGGGCATACTCGGGGCACGAGATTGCTAATTTCCCTTATATTATGGTGGTATTACTTCTAATAATTGTTACCTGCGGAGCACCGGCAGCTGCCATAAACATCACCACCGTTTTCACCATACACATCCAACATACACTGATAATAGCAATATGTAGTATCACGACGTGCGCAGTGGTGCTTGCTATCCGTCTTTGCTCTGATGTAAAGGTCTGTACGACAAGTACTCCATTGGAAGTCGTTAAATTGTGGCAGTTTGATGCAGTGTCTAACTCCGTTCGGACCAGTATGAGGATCGCATTTCAACGCCTCAGTTTTGCGACATGCGTAGAATGTGGCGATTATTAAGCCGAAACACAGTGCGTTTAAGTGGTTCCTCTTCATTTCAAACTTGCACTTTTCTTAGAACAGGACTAGTATATATGCTCATTAGTTTGTTCGGCCCTAAAAATATAAATAATGTACATAATAACTAAACCAAGGAACACAAGACAAATTAGAGAATCAAGTACTTGAATCTTTTATAGTCAAATGGACCATTTTCATTATAGACTAAATTTTTACCTAAACAAGTAAAATGCGGATAATATCGCCCTGCGAAAGTTGCAATTTTCAGTCATTTTTGTATTACAAACGAGAAATTGATGCCCCAACACCCGATTGGGCTCTTTGGGGCTGTCAATTTCCCGTTGGTAATACAAAATGACTGAAAAACGGCAAACTTCGCAAGGCTATAGTATCCGCATTTTACAACATTTCACAACGAAACTTTGGAATATTACTAATTTTGTGATGCTCTTTCAAGCTGTGATGAAATTTTTGTCTATACTTGTTTAGATCAAAATTTAGTCTATAATGAAAATGGTCCATTGACGAGACCAAAGCACAGAGTAGCTATATATACAGAGCTGGAACTGGCAGTTGTAAACACTGCGGAAACTTACGTTTTCATGTACCCACTTTTTTTCAGACGACCGGATCAACTGCGCGTGCTCAGCAAGTTCCGCGAGCAGTTAATTAAAGCGAGTCGCCATCCAATGAGATGCATGCATCTCGTAACTTGCCGAGCATGCGCACAAAAAAGTAAGTACACTAGCTAGAACTCTGTATATGTATCTACTCTGTGATCAAAGGCAACCGATCTAGTGGACTTTAATGAGAATTTGTAAATAAATCGATATAAAAATGGTGCTATAAAAACTTTTATCATTGAGTTATATTATAACAAAAATAGAAATTAAACAGCTCTTCCCGTAAAAAGTTCTTTGTAGGATTGCATATGGCGATAAAATAAATTTGCGCGCGCGGTATTATAAGTTTTTCCCGTGTTTCTATCATGCCAGTACAGAAACACTTGTGATAGTTTGGGAGAACTCGAAATGACGTCTGACGAAATGATAATCTCCCTAACTCCCACGCAAAGGCTTTCTACGTTCGAAGTGTTGAACTCAATTCGTTAGGTTACAAGTAGGAATATTACGTATGAACCAGATTTTTTCATATTCGGAAAGATCAGGCTTTTAGCTGTTGAATAATATGTTCTTCATGACAAATGGGAAAAAATGAGCAAATACGGATCCGATAAAAAATGTTAGTCAGAATCGCCGCATATTTTCACCGTTGAGAGTTGGGCCTAAAACCATTGAAAATTAACCCCTTTGGGACTTAAGTTGATGAAAATTCACTTCAATAAACTACGCACAAATTCATAATTATTACTTATGATTATTATCTTAGCTAAGCTGCCCCGGTTTCGGTGTACGGGTACGAGTAGTGTCATCTTGTTTTACTGATGTCTGTAATTCGATCATACTTTTTCTGTTTTCTTGCAATAGACAATGATATAATGCGAAAAATGTGCACCTTAATTACGAGTAAAGGTACAGACATCGACGAAAATATTGCTATCAAAAATCATGCCACCCGTACACGTAGAACCGAAACCGGGGTATCTTAACCTCTCTAATAGCGCGCTGAAGTTCGATTATCTTTTTTTGATACACATGCATGCACTGTGTAGTTCTTCATCTATACAGCTACATGAGAAACTAATGTGCGTAGTTGCCTTTGTCGCTTGATCTGTCTGTGTGTGCATGAATACGACATTAAACGAACTATCTTGTATGGTGGCAGCCAGTGTCTTCGTAGAAAGCCTTCATATTTAAGCTAAAAAATTCCTTTCAATTTAGCTTTCAACTGCGATGGAAAATTATTAGTACATATCTACCTTTCCTCTACAGGCTGTTTGATGTCATTTAATTAAAAAGCTGTAAAAAATGAAAGAAAGACCTACCTTAAACTAGTTTGCCGCCCAAAATAATTTCTGACTCTGTGAAGTTGCTAGCCGCCATCTCCGAATCTCAAATGCCGATGAAATGTTTGTTGCATGCGTAGTCAAATCTGAATTGAAAGGGATCGATTCCGCTTAAAACATTAGTCTTTATAAAAGCTCTTTATAATGACTAATGTTTTTAAGCTGAATCCACTTCAGTTTAGCTAGTCTTAGAACTTTCCTTTACCGGCTGTTTTACGTTATTTTGAAACCGAGTTTTACAAATTCAAAGACGTACCTTTCGTTTCCAAAACGATGGCTTGGAAATGTAAAATCGCGATACGCAGTATTGATGAGTTGTCTTGTTGTATACACAATCAAAATATGATACACTTACAATTATCATAGTTTTAGAGTTATTTCCGCTTTAGCTATGATTATATTTAATTTCCCCCAAACAATGCGTTCCATGCAGCACGAAACAAATAAAGTTCAATTGAGCAGGGAAAAAATTTGGTTATCTCTATATTTGCATTTTTGTACACGTTTAGCGAACGCTTAAATTCCTAACAAAATCCTTAAAACCCGATATTCCTCAAAAAATTGAAAATCTTGAAAAATTCACTTGCTATAATTCTCCTTTACTTACAAGTTTGCAAATTTCCGTTCTTTAAGGATAAATTCGTTTAAATTTGCCATTTGTATACTATTTAATTGGGGTTTTTTAAACAGGAAGTTCATACTTTAGGGAACATTGTTTTACTTGAATAATGGCTTCTTACAGCACGCAACATGTAACCAACCCTTCAACCTGGTGGCAGTCGCAGGCACCCAGAGAAGGGGGTTCATCTCTATGTGATGACTTTTAAACACAATCATGCGTTCAATTTCCCTCTTTAGAATTAGTTTTGCCGAAAAAAGGTCCTCATTGAGCCAAACATGTCGAGGAGACCACTCGCAAAGCAGCTAAAAACTTGTACTGCCTAAGAGAATGTAGAAGAGCGAACCTATCAGCAATCTCGTTCCCCGAGCCTGCGATCCTCGGGAAGGAACGCGAGGCTCTGAGATAATCCGTTGCCAAAAGCCAGGAATCCTGGCTAAGATTGAACTACGCATTCCATTTCAACGGCCAATCAGATTCCTCCCTGAAACGGATTATCCCAGAGCCTCGCGTTCCTTCCCGATGATCGCAGGCTCGGGGAACGAGATTGACCTACCAGTCGAAGTGGGTCTCACCACTTATTTAACTAAACTCAGGCCTATCCTTGAATATTGTTCTCCAGTGTCGGGTGGTCTGCCACGATATCTAAAGGACGAATTGGAACGTGTGCAAAGGAGGAGTCTACGAATTATTGGCCTCCCGCATTGTTACCTGCCAACTCTCGAAGAGAGAAGAATTGAAGCCAACATCGAGAGAACTCGATACCATCTTAGGTGATCCAAGTCAGATCTTTTATCAACGAACTATGGAACATAATAAACATAACTATAATCTTAGGCGTAGAGACGGTATTTTTAAATACGCACCTTTTTCAGGCAGTGAACGACACAGAAACAGTTTTATCCCTAACTTTGTTTTTGTTAACTTTTTACTAATTTCTAGACTTGTCAATATTATCGCATGCCCGGTCATGCTCTTCTCTTTTAATTAATAGACATTGTTGTAAATCCACTGTATTTTTAAACTAAACATGGATCAATAAAATCGTCATCATCATACATCGGTAAAATTCAGTTTTCCCGGACTTTTTTAAACAAATTTTCTATAAAAAATTGCTCTGTAGGTGTTCTTGAAATTAATTCAATCTAAAATGTCCAACTACAACCATCTTTATTTATAGTGGTTTATTATACACTCACGCGCACTTAGCCAATCACGAGTGATTATTAGGGTCACGTGCCAGCCCAACATTTTACGATATTGGACAGGAACATATTGGACAGTTGCGAATCGTGGCTTTTTCAACCCTTTCCAGATATTTTGTCAATTTCAAACATACGGCAAGCGATATGGAAGAGTAATGAAAAAATAATTTGGGACACCAATACATGCAGTTTTTTCTACCAGTTTTGTTCAAAATTATAAAAGCGCGGGAAAACTTGTCTTCGCGAAATTCATTTGTTTGCAACAGTGAACTCCGTGTCTTTTATCTGGAACGTTAACAACGCCTCTTGACGCGCGCTGATTCGTGATAGACCGCGCGGTGATGGTGTATAAGGGGACTGAAACTGACGTACTATATAGCATGGAGAGCTGACGCCACTGCTCACGCGAGGCTTTACTTTTTAACTGCCAAATGACTGAATGTTATCGTTCCAGGTAAAGAGATTGAGTTCACTGGGTTCAGTCAACGTAAGTGACGCCAAAAACATGGAAGATCCTCCAGTAATATAGTATAGCAGGTCCTTCAGTAATATAACATAGCTCAATGGTCGTCAGTTGCGAGACCGTAAAATATACCACAATTCATTGCGTGATTGTGTTGAGACGATTTAGTAACCAGGCCGGTTCCCCAAAAATAGTCCGATTAGCTTACAATCTCGTACGGGCATGCACAGCACCTAACTGCGAATGGCGTACTCTGGGTACGAGATTGATTACTTTATTATTTTATTAATCAGTCAACCACCTACTCTGTGGTTGCCATGCTTATCTATGTCAAAGTCTTTTTTCAGATAAAAATAGAATACCTGGTGTTTCTTCTCATCCCTTGTATTTATAACAACAAATATGATCTTGGCTAGGCGGACTGTGGCCCGGTTTACATGCAAACTAAAATAGTTTTATTAAGGGGGATTTGTATTAAGCCGGGCCAGGGGCGTAGGAAGTATCAAAAGATTGGAGGCAACGGCTGCTAGGGGCACTTTAGTGTATTGAAAAGGGTACCTAACAATTTTTTCCCGGAAATGTTGGCGACGGGGGGGGGGGGGGGGG